AGATGTGACCAGGGAAAAAGATATGAGCCAGGTGCATTGACAGATTTTGCTTAATGTAGGACTTTTTCAAAAAAATCAATTATTATAACTGATCTTAATTTTTATAATAGCTCATATGATGCAGAACGTTAAACATAGCAAACAGACATGTGCTATCGGGGTGGAAGGCAGTTTGTAAGCACCCACTTCACAGCGGACTGTGATCGCCCCGGCCAACTTTACATGTCCCAGTGGAGGTCTGCTTGTAGTTCACCACAATGTTTGCGCTTCAACCTTGGACACCAGCAATTCGGTTTCTGCTTCCTCCATGTCAACGACTGTCCTCCTCTCGCGAGTCGTTTTAAAAGGGAATGGGAGGAGAAGCTTTGATTGGCTGCAAATCAGGTCAACTGTGTTCACGGCCACAACAGCGCAAACCGTTTCTTTCTAACTGTGCCAAGATTTGTACACATTTTTGATTTGTATTTGGCACCAATCAACTAATATGACGTGGTAACTCTTTATATTTATAAACCATGTCCAGATTTTGTAGTACTCACTGTAGGCCTTTTGAAAACTGACTTATCAAAAAACTGATTCTATTCTTTGCAGTAATGATGCTTAACATTAAACGTGATCACATAATGCATCAATATTTCAAATCGGGATAAATGTATAGTATCGCATGATATTCCTCCCTGAGCATTACTATCCATGCTATGGCAAAAGCTCTCGTTCTAATGCAAAATATGAAGCCTTTTTTGCCCACCCCCCTCCCCCCTCTTACTTTTGTGACTCTCAAATTCCCTGCATGTGAGTGACATTAAGACTTTGTCGCTAGAGTCAGACCAGCATAGCGGAGAAGAAAGAAAAAAAGAAAGACTGACAATACCAAAGAAAAACAAGAACTATTTCATGTCTCACTAGCGTCACAGAATTATTTCCTGATGCTTTTGCCTCTGAGCTGCCGCAATTGCATTGTGCATTTAGTGAAACTACGACAAAGGGAAACTTTGAAATGATGAGGTGCGGAAAAATGGCAGAGATTGCATAAAAATGTCACTCAAGGTGTACAATACATATCAGGAGATGATGTCAAGTAATTTAGAATGCACGTGACCTTTTCGAGAGCGACCTTTTGATGACAATGTCCTTTTGCGAGAGAGAGACACACAGACACACACACACACAATGAAGACACATCTAATCTGCCACTATGTTCACTGATTGAGCATCTTGCAAGTCTAAGTGTGCCCCAGAGGCAAAGCTGGGACCAAAACTAAGATTTTTTTTTTTTTTAACTGATGAATGAAATGTTCTTAACATAAGTGCTAGGGTGGAGTTTTAGATATTTTAGACATTTTAGACTTGGTGACAAGGGGACATGTTTTTGTATAAGCCACTCGAGCAAAATGAGCTTTCGAGCAGAAAAGAGAAGCAAAGACTGATTGAGGAGATCTTCAGCAAGGGGCTGCTTTTGTTCGCAGCCCATGTGGCACCCCGAGGAGGAGAAACCAAGCTCTGCATTGAGGGTGGCTTTTATCACACTTTTAGCAGAGCATTGTCTAAACTGGGTGCCAAGTAAAAGGCTTCGCAGGAGCTGAGAAGGAGCTGGCATCAGGAACTCAGCAGTAATGAGCCCAACAGCTGAGGCCCTTTGGGAAACACGAGCCAGTGTGCACATAATTTGACCTTCTGTAAGTAGAGGACGGACACAAGGTTGTAAGTGACAGGCACGGCTTATTTCATTACGATGATTAGCTATCCCAAAACAAAAATTTGACTCTGAGTGACAAGGATGTATGTGAATATATTGGGTGTATGCCAGTCATTCGCTTTCGAGAATATGGAGACATATTTGCATAATGCAATCGAGTCCTGTGAATGCCTGACCTTGCCCGCGCTCCGTAATAACACTTTTGGAGGTAACGTCACACAAATGTGTTTGCGTGATGAAAAAGGCCTACAGCAAAGCGCTACAATCCAATAAATGCGTTGTTTATCAGTTCATTTGTATATGGCTGCTCTTCCTGAGCAAGACGGATGTATTCATTTTCAAGCATATTGCGAGACGACTTTCCATACCCATACATAAAACATCTCGTGAAGAGACACCGTATTTCAGGTAAAACGGCAAATCATTTTGCTTATGTACAGCACTTTTGAAGTTGCTACTACAAGTCGGTTACCACACCAGGAGTTAGCATAAGAATTTCGAAATTGGAAGTGGAGGTTCAGTGTCGATGATGAATAAAATTGAAGCAAATGAGACACTTCATTAAATGAGCAAAAACTGAATGAGCCAGAACTAACTGCAGTTATCTATTACTCTCCATTGAAAGTGTTGATCAAATATCTTGTTTCTGTATTAATTTTCAGTTAAAGAGCTACAAAAAAAAATAAAAATAATAAATCACATTGAATGTGTTTCTCACATTGCTGTGGCTGCTTTCGGACTTGTTACCAGCAGTGATGGTGTCCATTGAACAAATGTGGGGCCACACTGAAATGTTCAGACAATGAAGATGGCTAGCTAGCTAGATAGCTAGATAGAGTGCACTAGCCAGCTAGCTATTTAGCTAGCTATTGAGATAAATAGACAGATAAACACTTATCAATAAATAGAGAGCGAGAGAGAGAGAGAGAGAGAGAGAGAGAGAGAGAGAGAGAGAGAGAGAGAGAGAGAGAGAGAGAGAGAGAGAGAGAGAGAGGGATACGCCTTTTCTCTGTCCTGTTTGGTGTACACATTAGATACATACAGTAAATACAGTAAGTGCTGACACTGTCTGTGGTCACAAGGTATCAATCTGATCTTGCTTACCTGTGTTAATATTTAAGATCTTTGGGCATGATGACTAACAATGTTGACGTCTGAGCGGTACCGTCTATTAAAATGGAGTAAGCCACAGGGACGACAAGTCTGGTACGACTTTCTAAGTGGAAACCCATGTATGGCACATGATGGAATGGAGGCACCAGAGGCTTGTTTTTGTTAAAATGACAGAGTGGAATCTGGTGTTGACAGGGAAGCAACACAGGGACACACGTTGATGAGTAGAGGACACAAAAATTCCATAGCAAAAAAATAAATAAATAAATCTGTCAGGTTTTTTTACCATGACATCGGGAATGATATTTGGAAATAGTGCAGTTAAAATACAAGAAAAATGAGTACCGGTACTCAGAATAGTTCTGATCACGGAATACTCACTTTCTTTTCTGTTTGAGGAGAAAGAGGAGCACCTTATCTTCTCCGCCTGAAGCAACCCTAGTGGAGTCACCCTCGCAATCATAAGCACGGAAGGTCCGAACCTAGCATTCGTCACCACTTCCCTCAGGGTCACGTTAGACTAAAGTGCTGAGGTGATAATTTGGCGCACTGTGATTGCTGTTTTAAAAAGTGATTTGCCAGCAATCGGCGTCACCTGCTGCTGGGTCATGGTGAAATGCAGATTAGGAACAACGGGTCAGAGCAGAGAATGCGGACAATTTTTCTGTCTTCTACTGTTCCTGTGCAGGGGCTCGGTAACCATGGCAATTTCCACTCATTGATTCACACTACCATGCAAAAGTCAACAATGTGTTGTCTGAACATTTGTTGAGGGTTTTAGGTACCGACAGAGGCACTCAGTAAAGGCCTGACATGTGTGCTTGATTGTGATTATCAGGAGACGAAGTCTGGATAGGGCAGCGCGCGGCAGGAGTCCAGCCTGCGACGACGTTACGTGGCGGCCACGTTGGAAGGTGCGACGTTCCCATGAGGTTCACTTTTTGGGCACCATCAAAGCATTAAAACAGAAAAAATTTTTCGGTGGAAGGTAATAGAGTCAAATGCTGTGGTCATTTCAACAAAGGAGAGTGTAGTTTTTGAGTATTGATCCATGCGAATTATTTTATTTGAATGTGCGCAATTTACATTCCTATTTCGATGTATCACTTAATGAGTAGATTGCAAAACCAGTCCTGATACCATGTTTTGTGAGTTCTGTGAGTAGTTGCTGGAGAGGTATGACCGTGTTAGCAGGAGGAAACAAAAATAATAACAAAGTAGCGAGCCTACACTTGGATCTAGCAGGCGCACAAGCACGTGATTTACTACTAGCGTACTCATGGTGGGAGGGCGCTGTGGTCTGTGTGAGAGTTAGATATGTGGATTTGTATTTTATTTCTGGACCCCTTGTCACCTGTGCCGCCCAACAACAGCACATGAGCAGAAAAGTCTGAAGACGACTTTGAACAGTCATGTTTTCATCTGTTCTTCTTCACGGCCCCCTCCTGCCGGCTTTTATCTTCTGAATAGAGACGGCAAGCAGAAATTGCAGCTATAATTAATCGACAGAGCTCTGGCTTGATGGGAGTAAGAGGCGGCTGGGAAAAAAAAAAAAATCAATACGACAACACAACCCCCTGTGAATCGTACGACTTTTCATCCTGGATGGATGACAGAGGCATTCGCACTTCTCAAATTTGCGCCGCTGAGTGGCTGTCTTGCAACGAGTGCACAAGCAACAAGCGATGCCTCCCTGACTCTTGGGGGGGGCTGAGGGGGACGACTGAGAGGGATCATCACCTCTGAAGAGCATGATTATAGATCGGCTCCCACGGAGAGCTCTTGCAGAAAAGGGCCTTGACCGCCCAATCGATGAGCGATTATATCATTGTTAACTTCCACTTTATTATGGAACGTGGATTCTGGGTGAACCACCTCCGAGCGGGATTATGAAGTAGCATTTCTATTCTAGTGATACGTGTGTGTGTGTGTGTGTGTGTGTGTGTGTGTGTGTGTGTGTGTGTGTGTGTGTGCGTGGTGTGTGTGTGTGTGCGTGCGTGTGTGATTGGTTGTTAATATGTTCTTGGGTATTTCTACAGCCAACAGTTAACAACCTGTCATGTTAGAGGCAGCAGCAGTCAAACGCTGGGCTGATATTAGCCACAACTCGTGTGCCCTATCAAAAAGTGGCAGCAGCAAAAATGGCTTTGTGTTGGCGCAGTTACCAAGGTGTGTGCTGTGTGTGCGGTACCTGTTACAATCGACGTGCAGCAGTAGGTGGGAGGAGCTTATAGTGAGGGCAATTTTGTGCCACTGGCCATCAGCGAGACGGTAGGGGAAGGACTCGGTGCGGGGCTTGCCCTTGAAGCGATAGTGGTAGCGGATCTCCTCTCGAACGCCGCTGCTCTCCAATTCAAAGTAGCTAAAGGTGAGGGGAGAGGGTCAAAGTCAAACATTGTTTCCGAGGCTGGGTGTTCAGCTCGGAGGAATGAAAACATACTCCTGAAGAAATTGCGCAGCTTCATGAATTAAGACTCGTACAAACAGTTTGGAGAATCTTATTCGTTTTAACCTGCTTATTTATAGTTTTCTTTCTCATCTGTTGAGAAAGTTCTCATCGTAGCTTTCTCTGGGCCATGTTTATTGTGGTGCACGCCTTTCCAGTGATGCCAAAAAAAAAGGACAGTGCACCTTTGCTGACTCAAGTTTGAAGACACCTGTTGCGCTGGCTACAGGACACAATTTAGTTTAACATGTCCATCTTTTTCCTGGAGACCATTTTCTTTCTTTCATTGAAAGGGTACCACCACTTTTGTCCAAGTGTGTAAAAATGCAACAACATTCTCAACAAAAATCTCTGTCACATGCCAATATCTCAATGGACGAATCTACACAAAATACTGAACAAGAGAGGAGTTCATGGGTGGACACCACGGAGGAAGCCACTGCTGTCCAGAAAAAAAAAATTGCTGCAAATTTGGAGCTTGCAAAAGATCACCTGGATGTCCCACAGCAATACTGGCAAAATATTGTGTAGAAAGTTGAAACCAAAGTTGAGTCGTTAGGAAGGAGGAAAAAAGGCACAGCACACCAACATCAAAACCTCATCGTTGTTGTGAAGTATGGTGGAGGGGCATCATGGTTTGGGGCTGTTTTGCTAACTCAGGGCCTGGACAGATTGCTATCAAAGGAGAAATGAATTCCGAAGTTTACCAAGACATTTTGTAGAAGAACATAATTTATGTAGAAATCCCAGTAATTCTTTTTTTCGAGCGACATCAAGGATAAAATGAACTGAAAGGAAAAAAATCTGTGCTGTTCTTTCCCAGACTAAACTACGGGCACAATATTTTCCCTTCAGCTCTTGTCTAGGATTTCCTGCCCAAACTGTAGCCTTGAGTTAAACTGTAACAGGAGCATGGCATGAAAAGATAACTGTAAAATCAACAAATAAAAATATATTCCCTTCACTCTCTTAGCTGCTATTCCCATTTTTATTTTGTAACTTCAGGCACTTGACCTGTATTCTTGCATTGTGTGCAGCCTCATGAGCCAAGCTGAATTAGGAGTCAGCCAGCCGCAGCAGCCGCTTCAGAGCTGCAGGCAACGAGTCTTGGCATTTTAGCCTCCCCGTGGCAGCAGGTGACCTGAACAGTGGGACCTTTGGCACATCGCGGACATGTTAAACGACAGAACCACTGAAAAATGATTTCTAACGTACAAAACATTGCCCAAAGTTAGCAGCCCCCTCGCCAATTCCGATATGCTGACGTACGCGAGAACCCACGCACAAAGGCATTGGAATCAAGCCCATTCAATCGCAAAAGCTCAAGTGTATCATGTATATTAATGACGCGGGAGAGTGTATCCTTCCCAGTGAATATCAATGTGGGCTACGCTGCAGTAGACTGATGCCTTTTCCTGTTGGGAAAAATTGAATGAAACTGAGAAAAAGTCAACAGTCCCCCGATGCAGACAACACCAATAAATATAAGACACGATCATCTTCCCGATAGTGAACTTGGAACGAGTTTTATCCAAGTCGGCTCGATATGAATAAATTCAAATGTCAAAGGTTGGGCTCTGCTTTCAGGCTCTCAGTTTTCATCAAATACGGAGAAACAAACAAACATACTTTTGAAATGCAGCGCATGAATGTGTGCCTTTCTCTGAGCCGCGATCAATCAATTCACTGGGATAAAGAAAAAAAAAAGAAAGAAATGGAGGAGGCCTAGCTCATCACGTATAATCAAGAAGATCAACCCTTGTGACACGGCTAATGGTGGCCCATCAGCCACCCACTCCGGCCAGGCTCATAATTAGATCACATGAACACTGTATTTACGTTAGATCAAAGCAAAGTAAATTAAATGTCAAAAAGAAGTGCTTTATGTGTAAGAAAAAGTCGTATTGCCCCCCGCATGGCGCAGGGATAGCGTTCCAACAGCACCAACGCGTGTGTATTTGCGCATCACAGATAAAGGCGATGGAAATAAAAGTCACGGCGGGCCAGCTCGAGCGCCGCGTCATCAAGCACCGTGTCATCACCCCGAAATGAAATGAATACATCACCGCGTGGCTCCGCCCGCCACTGACCTGACAGCTCGTCGCCATCAATGATACTTGTCAGCCAGAGAAGATTCATTTGCATTGAGTGAAGAGTAAAGCCATCATAAAAGCTCGCCAGCCTCCTCTCCTCGCTTGATGGAAGCCTCGTCAAAGTTTAGCGAGGCTTCACTGGATTCGCCGAGTGGGCAGACACACCTTTATCTTGATTCGACTCATGAAATAATCACCAAAGCCATTAACTCCACTTCACAGCCGGCGTTTGTTTTATAGAACATTTAGTCGGAGCTGTTGTAATAGGGAATATTTAATGAGGGGGAATAATCTACTGGCGAGTTGTAATAAACATGGCCTGCCACACAATGAAAAAAAACAAAAGGAAATCTCTTGAAGTGTCTCTGCACTGCACTGGATACAAACAAAAAGTCTATTGAGATTTTAAGAGTCGGGTGTTTCAATGGATAGCATGTACACAACCTGCACTTGACTTGAGGAAATAAGCATTCCGCAATGCACAGAAACATTTTTATGGAAGCCCATTTTGTCAACTGTGATAGTAAAGAAATGTTTCATGTAACTTTTTGAAAACAAAAAAAAAAAAACAAACAACAAAAAAAGAAGCAATCCTCAAATTTGTGCTTGTTTACCTCAGTGAATATCACATTTTTCTCATTTTATTTTGACTAATAGTCAATAACAAACAAATGTGTCATTTTGTGTACTGACATAGGGATCTTATTTAACCTTTTCAGGGACAGCGGTTACTATAGTGGAGAGCTTATCATGTTATCATGGTTACAGGGCACATGAAAGGGTTAAAGTACTTATGGCCTCAAGATGCTCTATTATTTTACTAAAAAAAAAAAAAACTCACTTTATGTAATTTTTGCTCTGGAAAAGTACATTGGCAAGCATCTTCAATAATATCAGTGATGTCTTGGTGTGACGTCAGCCAAAGAACCGGGGACGATTGGTATATTTTAAAATGCTCAACTACGTTGCTTATAATGTCTGAAAACTGCGGTTGTCGCCAAAATGTATGTGGACATCATGATACAGTATCGGCCCACTTTAAGCCTCCATCTCACAGTACGATATATTCACGGTGTTAAGGCGATGCTACCTTTTATTGTTGCGGTATTGTGGAAAAAAAAAAAATAAATACCATATTTTCCACACTATAAGGCACTTCAGCGTATAAGGCGCATCTTTAATGAATGGCCTATTTTAAACCTGTTTTCATATACGAGGCATACCTCATTATAAGGCGCATAGAATAGAAGCTACAATAGTGGCTGGAGTTGCATTATGCATCCAATAGATGACGGTATGGTAAAGGATTACAATACAGCTTTATTTATATAGCTTTGGCGCGAGCAAGTGTTCTTCAACAAAATGGAGGCACCTCATTTCTCAGGCAAAAGTTTGGATTTCTGTGATTGTTGGGAGGGCTGTGTATCAGCAATGCCCTTTCCCTTCAACCCCGGTGTCACGTTTCTGCTTTATGTAGGGCAGGTGACAGCCAATTATCCGTTCAGAGGGGAGGGGACTTGTCAATGAAGAGAGAGACACTCAACTAGAAAACGCGATGGCGATGGAGCACAGACGCCTATCTGAGAACTGGTCTGTCGATTTCTGGACCAAGCAGATATCCTGATCACATTCCTGCAATGAAGACTGATCTGTCAACAAAGACCATAACGATATTGATTAGTTCAGTCTGATGAAGAGAACGTGATTCCCATTTTCAGTTTGCGATGACGTGTTGCAAAGTGGTGCACAGGAAAATCCACCTTAGTATGCGTTCATACGGTTGTTTATTATGATTATTATTTTATTATCTGAACCTGTTATATGAATGTAAAAAATATGTACAGTACAACATCCATCCATCCATCCATTATCTGAACCGCTTATCCTCACAAGGGTCACAAGAGTGCTGGAGCCTGTCCCAGCTGACTTCGGGTAGTAGGCGAGGTACACCCTGAACTGGTTGCCAGCCAGTCGGGGGGCATTCGCGCTCACAATCACACCGAGGGGCAATTTAGAGTGTTCCATTAGCCTGCTATGCATGTTTTTGGACTGTGGGAAGAAACCGGAGTACCCGGGCAAAACCCGCGTAGGCACGGGGAGAGCATGCAAACTCCACACAGGAAAGCCGGAGCCGGAATCGAACCCTGCACCTCTGCACTGTGAGGCGGACGTGCTAACCAGTCACCCATCGTGCCGCCCACAGTATAACAGTGAAACAGAAAAAATAAAATAAAGGAAATGTATGTTATGTTACCATTCAGAAAATGAATTTTTTCAAAAGAGGCGGAATCAAGGAGATTTGGAGCTACTCGAGCGAACAGCGGCTTCCCTCACATAGGTTTGAGGGGCTCTTCCTGTCGTCAAGCAGGCGTTTTGACACATGAAAAGAAAACGAAGGTCTGAGCTACAGGATAAACATTAAATGTCAGGCATCAACGCTGAGAACGGTAGAGATGTTCTGCACCTGAGAACAAAACACCAGAGAAAATCTTTTCACCACTCTGTGTGCCAATGGCTGTGTCGCTTTCAAACCCCTGTAGAGACACCAAAAAAAAAAAAAAAAAAAACTGGGCCCACCACAGAAAAGAAAAGAGGAAAACATCTACCAAATTTGAATGAGTACAGGTATTGCCAAGTACAGCGCATTAAATCGGTCTTCAAAATGCTACAAGCTAATCACCAGCTAGCCTACAAAACAGTGAACTTTCCCGGATGTGTCTCTGTTGCAAAACATCTGAATTCATGTTGATAAGAATGTTTATTTTTCTGAGGTCGATAAAGCCCACTTACATGTATCTGCATTCAGTGCTAAAAGGTCTTTCAGTCGCTTTATTTCGCAAACATGCCAGGCGGTCAAGACAAACACCGTTCGCCCTCAGTTTGTTTGAATTCACGAAAAGCCGACAACTTCATATTTTGAGCGCATATTTATTTGAAATGTCGCAATGCGACAATCGTGTCAACAATCTGCGCCTTAGCATGAACGCATTCATGACATTGGACATACTTCTGAATTGCAAGGCCTTTATTTTAAACGGCATCAGTGCTTATCCCACACTGGCAACTAATCACCGCGAACAGAAGTTTTCTGTCAGTATTTATCTTCCGCTCCGGCACTCCGGTAAGCTTCCTGTGTTGTTAACTAAAGTCGACAGGTATTACAGCAGTGTTATTCGACACTTCTGTCAAGCTCACCTTCATGTGACTCATCCTTAACACGCGGCCCCTTACGCCAAAGAACCGATGAATGGGAGAGGCTCGCGGACCTTGAGAATGACGAGTGCTGACCACTTCAACAGAGAGACTCGCTGTGCATCTTTTGTGTCCCGAGCAGTGGAGAAACTAAGCTTTGAATTTGATTCTCACAGAGCTATTGCCACAATCAGTGACAAGAAGTGTTTTTACAGGGGCGACTGAGGAGAAGTGCTGACTGGACAGAAAAGATTTCGGTTTGTAGTATTCAGCCTCAAAAAAGCAGCACAAAGAAGCGGAAGAAAGGCCGTTATGATTTTGCAGCGGGGACTGTGAAACGCTCGCATTCAAAACGCTGTTGTCACTTTGAGGATGAACAGGGTGAAGGATGAGTGAAAATTTCCATTTCCTTGTAGCTGAGCCCGGCAGAGGAGGCGGGATGGAAAAGAGGATGCTTGGACCGTACAGTGAGAAATATGAAGAGCAAGGCGACAGAGAGAATTACGGCACAGCCGACATGATCGAGCTAGCTGTCTATTATTAAGTAGTCGAATGACAGCTCTGAACTAAGGCTCTAATTGGGCCTTCGGAGAGGATTCACAGGTTCACAGAGGAACATAAGTCAGCACCGAGTCATTGGAGGTTCTGTCCATCTCCCTGACTGCAATTAGTGTCCACATGCGGTATTGAAGTCCGACTCGCAACGGCTTTTATCAAAACAGTCCCAGCCTGCTGCTAGCTAGCATGGCGGCATGAAAGGTTATGCATGTCGTAGCGGCAACCGTACCTCCACCGTGCTGTCATTACAACCATAGACCGATGACGAATCGAGGTAGCGTATCTGTGTGTTTTGAGTGTCTTTTCATCACTCATCTGTGACCATGCAAGTCATTGTTTACATGAGTACCATGTTCCAATAATCTCGCCCGAATTAGCTTGTATTCAGATCACAATAGGTCTAATTGGCTGCGAATAGAAATCAATTGTACTTTTCCTGTTTCCTGTGCTGTGCTTTTGACAAAAACCCCGAAAAGAACACACTTGTGGGCTAGAGTAGGTGGATTGCAAGTCTATAGTTTCACGACGACATAGAGATGCTGTGACAGTCTAATTTACAAGATATCCACAGAGTCTACTTGCGGCCCGGTGGGTTAGCGCGTCGACCTCACAGTGCGGAGGTTGTGGGTTTGATCCCGGCTCCGGCCTTCGTGTGTGGAGTTTGCATGTTCTCCCCATTCCTGCGTGGGTTTTCTCCGGGTCCTCTGGTTTCCACCCATGTTCCAAAATCATGCATGGCAGGCTGATTGAAGACTCAAAAAATTGTCCCTAGGTGTGAGTGTGAGCGCGGATGGTTGTTCGTCTCTGTGTGCCCTGCGATTGGCTGGCGACCGGTTCAGGGTGTTCCCCCGTCTACTGCCTGAAGAGGGCTAGGATAGGCTCCAGGACCCCCCGCGATTCTTTTGAGGACAAAGCGGATCGGAAAATGGATGGATGTACTCTACTGCTCTCTGGTGACCATGGCACAAAATGAGCAGCACAATGTCCATTGAATTCAAGACAAAATGTGGCAAAAACTGTTTGAGTCTTCTTCAAGACACCTCTCCATACACGCCATATATACTGTTTTGGTATGGCAACCAACTAGATCGCACTTAGTACCTTGAAGCATATTTTTTGTTTTGAAAGCTCCTATGATCCAACGTGACATTTTTGACTTGCCGTTACATTTGCAGCAGTAGCCATCCACTCGTAATTAGAAGCAGACCCAAAGCGCACACACTGCAACTGTTCCGTTGGGTTTGACCGCGTTGCTCGGGGTGCGGCGGGTCTTGGAGGAGATTAGCATTTTGAGGCTGATCTGCGCGCATGTACTTGTACAAGTTCAGGTGCAAGGCCATTTCCTGAACTGCATGGCTGTTTATGCAACATCCTGTGATAAGCAATATCAGCATGTTTAGAATTTTGACTCTTACAGACACAACACACACAGAAGCTTATCGCTCGGCCCGGGCAGCGCCAAGCGAGTGCTGCATTATCCCGGGCCACTCAATTTCCCCCTATCAACTACTGATAAAAAAATGACACCAAAATAGGTGATCTTCAACACCAGTCCTCAGCACACCTCTAGAACAGCCACCTGCAAACCACTAGAGCATGACAATTCATTGCATTTATTACAAAGAGAGAAGTCTAATCCGTTGCCGTAAAGTTGTGCCAGAAAGGAGCCGCGGACAAAATGAAGAGGATTACTGATGGATTACCTGTGTTCTGACTCATGGATGGAGAATATGACACCCGACGTTGAGGACTTCTGTTGGATGGAGGCCAAAAAGGTGAATTCACTTTTTCTCCTGAATAGCTGCATGACTTTCTCTGCGATGTGTGCTGGTGCTTGAACGGCTCTTCCGACATCTAAAGAAGAAAAACGTAGACAAATCATGAGCTCGTACGCTCACACGCAATCTGCGAGGATAGATAAAATCTCACAAAGTGAAACAAAGGAACACAACCATAATCGTGTATGTACACAATCTGGCACGATACTGTTTTTCTTTTAATTATTATAAAACACGCGTACACAATAGGCAGCCAACAAGACAAGCCTAATGACCTAGTGAGTTGCAACACACTAGCATACTTTCAGTTCATTGTTAGCGTTAGCCGCTAAGTGTTGCGCCACATGGCGCAATTCAAGTATCTTAAATTATGTTAATTAGTGAAAGTTTCCATGTATCAATCACCAAGACAACCACTCGAGCACCAACTGCGCTCTGTCTCTTACCTTGAGTAATACTGTACATGTATTTCAACACTTAATTTAGCTTTTCTTTTGAAGTTGGTCTACAGAATCAGTCGTGGCAGTTGACTTGACTGTGAACTGGGGATGACCTGATATTTTTAGCTTGCAAAAACACGGTGACAGACTAACCGGAACACTATATTCAATTTACAGGCCTCAAGCGCACCGGCGCACCACTTATGTCCAACACTGATAACAGGATTACATTGCTTGACAGATACCTGTATATTTTCTTGCTTTTTTATTAAAACAAAATGGATACTTTAGTCGTTATTATTTTTGAACAAATGTTTGCAAAAAGCCATCAGTGAGGCTTCAAAATGTGTGCATTCAAATCATTGAAAAAAATTCATGCGGATCGAGCAAGCACAATACATTATTTGCAGTCCCTACAATTTCTGGTCTAACTATCTGCAAGTCTTTCCTCACCACATCCTTAAACGCCTTCACTTCTTATTCCTGATCCTCCCCATCCTCATCACTCTCAAAGAGAAGCTCAGTTATCTTCGTCTCCGCCACATACAGCTCCTGTCTTCTGATGATCGCTATCATGTCCAAACCATGCAACATGGCTCTTCTCACAACCTTTCCTTGATGACCGTAATTGTGTTCCTCGCTAAATTAGACAATTAGAAAAAAAAGCACTGCTGTATTTAATGCAGACATCTGTCTCTCATTTAATTTCCATGTCTGTCTTAAGTCTTCAAGTGGAGTCAGACATTAAATTATTGACACCGTCCATCAGTAAGGTGCAAAAGGAAAAGGAACTATTGGAAAAAGGACCTTGAGAAACCTCAAATAATCCTGATCATGAAATCCAAGCAAAAGCTAAGCGCCACACCCACACAGTCTCTCGGCTGTAGACCGATGCACATCTCATGGCCAAAATAAAAAATAAATCACAGTCTCAGACGGAAACAGTGACGGCAAGCAGATAGATTGACACAGCAGACAAGAAAAGCACGGGGGGGGGGGACTTTTTTCCGCCCCTTTTAAATTCCAACTTATCACTGTAATCATAAGTCGAGCTGGTCTGCCCACAGCTTGGCTAAATCTTACAGATGGCCTTTTAACTGCTCCGAAAGACTTTGCTCAATGCCATGGAAGTAGTTAGCTTCTGTCTGACCGAAAATGAAGAGCCCTCTGCAAAGTGTCACAGCCCAAAAAAAAATAAATAAAAAAAATTACTGATTATTTTCTGAGGTCACAAAGTGTGCTCGGGGGAAGTTTTGAAACGGTCATTTTTCCACTGAACATCTGACAAGAAAATGCTTCGGGGTTAATATTGCATCCTGGAGACTTGTGTTTACAGTGCTTAAACGGATACTGCACACAATATACTCACTGGCTGTATATATGATTAGGACATACAAACTAGTCAGACACAAAATACTTTTCAACAAACTCCTTAATTGAAAGTCAAATTATTCATCTTTGTGAAATCATTTTGCAAAACAATTTTTAGCTCTCATGTATTATTACGCATGATTGGGCAATGTGCAAAATGTGTGTATTCAAAAACATTCCTCGAAACAGGCAAAACTAGAAATAAAATAAAAAAAACTAAATACAGGCGTGAAAGGTAATTTGTCAAATAACCACTTTAATCAAAAAATTGTAGCAGTGACACACTGTAAATGTTTCAAAAGAATCTTATTTATTCTGGATTGATTCTTGAAAGTATCCAGTTGCTCTACCAGTTCCTTTGTTTGTAATGTTTCCTCTTTGGCCAGCAAAGTACAAAGAGGAAACATTACACTACTCCAAATTTTAGGTCCTCGGTGACAAACTGGTGGAAATTGAAATCATTCTTCTCATTATTTACTTATAGCTTTAAATATTCAGGCAGCCTCAAAGTAAAGAGTTCATTTGTGGATTCCGAAATACTTTCCAGTAGACAGAAAGAGAAAAAGGTGCAGATTTTTAGTTTCTCTCCTGTGAATCCATTCTCTTTGCATTTAAGAGCAGGCTTAGAACTATATGTCATGATCATTTTTCAGTTTGGGGCTGCCTCAGGCTTGCTTTGAAATATCCCGTGGATGACGTATGCTAGTTTGCCAAGGAACCCTTCCACATATGATGGACTGAGCTTTCCTTTCCCACCTTTGCGATACAATAATTACCCAACCATCCCTGGGAGCCCTCGTTTGGGGCGTTTGCCTTGAAGGGATGCTGAAACTCAACACCAAATTTAATACTAGTATAGTGATACTTTGACTTTGAGTGCCTGCAACTGAAGACTTTCCCGCGGTGCAGCGCAGGCGAGGCCCGAGGAGCGCCATCCATGTTTTGGGAGACCTTCCGCATCGTCGCTTTTTCCCCACCAAAAAAAAAAATGTCTGCAATGCCCCGAGGCAAGCAGGAGGCCGGGACTGACTCTCAAGCAGACTGACTCAAGACTCTTGGTTTCAGCAACTCGGTCATAGCCAATTAAAGGCAGACAAATACAAAAATCATCTTGGCAGACAAGTTCTCTTTTAACGGAGACACATAATGCATGATTTTGACACAACTGAAAACATGCACAATAAATATGTCTACTTTTTAAAAAAATACTTGAGGAATCAAGAATTATACACACTTGCTCATTGTACACACTCTTGTTTGGACCCTGCCTGGGGACAAGAGTGTCGCATGATTCCTTTCAACATAATACTTGAGGAATCAACAATTATACACACTTGCTCATTGTACACACTCTGTTTGGACCCTGCCTGGGGACAAGAGTGTCGCATGCAAATGAGCCACTGCTCATTCACCGACACTACTGCTGCGCCACTTCCAAGTCTGACTTGATGACTGAAGGGGCGGAGCTTGTAGTTGGGTACTTGTTGATCTGAGTTGCAAGCAGTGAAGCTTCAAGATGCTTCATGAACCAGTTGTATTTTTTTTTTTTGACTCCTCGAGATGTGTTCGCTCATGCTAACTTGGGAGTCCACCTAAATTCAACGCAGCTCTAGTAAACGGTTGTGTTTGAGATGGTGGAGTGGTTACTTGAGAGAAGCAGATGTTCACCCAGCCTTGTTACCAAGTCATAGGCGGAGAAACATTGCATTACCATATACATTTTCCCCACTGTTACATCACAGCGTTCCATAAGTCAAAACGGCTTGATCACAGATACATTTTCCGAATTGGCATATCACAAAATATTTCCTTGGTCGTTTAATTTAATGCTTGATGGTAGGTGAAAAGAAAAAAAAAATGTGTTACCGTCAAGTTTCTTCTTTTTTGCAGAATATGTGGCCTACTGGAATCCAATCCTCTTTCGACCATTGTACCATATATTCCTCGCGTATAACTTTTGTGTAGGTTTTGATGGGTACGGCTTTTCTACTTGACTCCTTACTGAAGTTCTTTCTTTGTGCAAGTATTTCTTGAGACGAATGGCATATTACCTCACCCGAGTAGGCTCTTAAAAAATAAAATAAAATAAATTGTGGATGTGGACCTTTGGCTTCTGTAACCAATCTTCTCTGAGGGTTTTTTTTTGTGATTTTCCAAATCTCGTCCTGACCTTTGTTCACCTCAACTGGCATTTATAAATTATACTGTGCACCGTGAAAACAGCAAATTGAAAAAGCTCTCTGCATGTGGGCATCAACAACTTATTACACAGCTGATCCGAGAAACCAACGGCAGCTAAGAAGGCAGGCAATGCGGGGGGGTGCTTGAAACTCCAAAATTGGATTTTATTTTTAAATAAACTAAGCACTAGTATCATTCTCCAGCGTATGAATACAAACAATCTGTTGTGGTGTACTGATACACTGGGAAACTAAGTTTGTTTTTTCTGGTCTATTTTTAGATGACAGATTTGTGCACGATGGGCCAGTGGACTAGATTTTTGCAGATCATTCACAGCACGCGCTCTGGCATCTGTGCCGTGCCAGAGTTGAAGAGCATTTACGCCAAACCATTTATGCTTCTTTTTGAAATGTCATTTGGTCTTTCTTCTCTTATTTTGGGAACGTCCACACACACACAAATTGAGCCAGCGTGTCAGCCACGCATCTAGTCCACAGCAGACTGTCCCCAAGGAGCTAGCCTGTTTTTCAGATGCTCATGGGGGATTTGCCGGAAAGAGTTAAAAGTTTGGGCTGAAAGCGGGGTTGGAGCTGGAACTGAAGAGACAAACTACAGAGTGGGACTAAAAAAAGTCATGTGAAAGAAGGGTAGCATATGGAACTTGCATTGAAAAATGTTGTGAATGAAGCTGCGATGTAAATGTGGCTTTAAATTCCTGTAAGGAACAAAGGCACAATAACCATTTCGGAAAAATAAAAAATAAAAATGCCAACCGCAGTTGGCGTGTCAGGTTGACTACGGCAGCGGAGATATTTGATGCAGCCCCAAACAAAACAAAAAAAAAAACTATGGAGTTTATTTCTGCACAATATACAGCAGAATGGCAAAAAATGTCGAACGAGGCTTTTAGAATGGCAAAGAAAGTTAACATTGTTCATGCAAAAACAAAAGAGACAGAGAGCAGCACTTGAAGGCGCGCATATCAAGAAGCCTCGAACCACTGTCAAGCTCTCAGCACGCCTCCCCTAAGATGGCTCACATTTGAAGAATCTCCCGGCTGATGAAAAATTCATCACTCTGAATT